AACAACTACGAGTGTTAGACGCACCGGAGCTTCATGATTGTTTAACCACTATTGAGATTTCCGTTTGTATTCTTTCTAGAGAAAACAAGAGACTTAGAAATAAGGTGATTCCCGTAGTCAAAGTTTAATGGAACCGGAAAGGAGCTGAGGAGGCTTCTTGGGAACGCGAGGAGGATATGCATCACGACTTCCCGCACCTGTTTGAATAGATAAATGGATTAATTATGATTTATTCCTATTTATGATTATCTATACGATCATATTTATACTTAACGCTAGAATGAGAGTATTAACACTTAGCTCCTAATCATTCGGAACACATGGTATATATATGGGGGGTTCCTTGTTTGGATTTTTCGCCCGACGTACTAGTTTCCCTTAGTTAGGGGTTAAGTGAGAGTATTTGCATTCTATATTATTAAGTGTAGATATTTCTTTGTTTCATATCTAGAGATTAATTATACGAGATGTGTATGTGAGGATTTCCTTATCTGGATTATTCCATCAACGTGTTTTTCTCTAAGATACGATTGCGCAATTTCGAGGAAGAAATTCTTTTAAGGGGGAAGAATGTAAAACCCCAAAAATTTTAAAAATATTATTATAAATGATAATAAATGAGTTTTGGTGATTTTTCTGGGATGAATGGATCAAATTGGAATCGATTTGAGATCGATTCGCAGTTTCAGCCTCAGTATCGTGAGTCTACTGAAAACTGTTACTATTTTGTTTTTAGTAATTTTTCTATTGATCATATGGACACAATGTTTGTAATTGATCTTAGAATCTTGAGATGGTGATGTGGTTAAACTTTCGTTGAGTTCTGACAACGGAGACTGAAACACTATTTTGAGACGCTATTGCGTTTACTGACATCTCTCGTATTTGTATTTTTAATAATTTTTCTATTAATCATATGGACATGAGGTTTATACCATTGATCTTAGAATATCGATACAGTGCTATGGGTAAATTTTCGTTGCTTTTTTAGATCGAAGTCTGAAATCCTATTTTTTAAAATAATATAAAATATTATATATTTTTCCTCTCTTTTTCCTATTCCACCTACCCTCTCCCCTCATTTCTCTATAAAATGGGCCCTCCCCTCGCTCTCTTCTCACAAATCAGCGGGAGAAAGAAGAGAGAGAAAGAGAGGGAGAGATAGAGAGGAAGAGAAGGAGAGAGAGAGGGAGAGGAAGAGAATGAGAGAAAATATTAAGAAGAGAGAGAAAGAGAGGGAGAGAAAAGAGGAGGAGAGAGAAAGAAAATAGAGAGAGAAAGAAGAGAGGGGGAAAGAGAAAGGGGATTTTGGCAATTCGAAAACAGGAACGGATAGGGATTCTAATTTCAGAGATCAATAAAGACAAGTTCATCTCTTTCCAAACTCATCCCCGTTTAGTTTTGATATTAATAAAAATTGATGAATTTTAGATCAAATCCTAAAAATGATGAAAAAGCATGATATTGATGAAAATTGATGAATTTTAGATTAAATCCTAAAAATGATGAAAAAGTATGATATTGATAAAAATTGACGAATAGAATATAAGATCAAATTTCTAAAGACGTAATATTGCTAGCTAGAACTATACGTATTTGTCCAGCGTTGGGTTACTGTTACTATTCATACGTACGTGTATTATTCATAAGTATGGTTACTATTCATATGTATGTGTACTATTCATCAATATGTTACTATTCATATGTACGAGTACTATTCATATGTACGAGTACTATTCATAAGTACTATTACTATTCATATGTGCTATTACTATTCATACGTACAGTTTCACGAGTACGATACTATTCAAACGTGCGGGAACTATTTATACATACGATACTATTCATAAGTAATATTACTATTCATATATACGGGTACTATAACAATAGTTATCAAGCGACTATAGGGATAACACCGTATGAGGCATTATACAGGAGGTCTTGTAGATCGCCTATTTGTTGGGAAAATCCAGAAGACAGCTTGCTACTTGGACCAGAACTTTTGAGACAGACTACAGAGAAGGTAGCACTGATTCGAGAGTGTATTCTTATAGGGCAGAGTCAGCAAAAGAGTTATGTAGATCAGAAGAAACGACCGCTAGAGTTCAAGTTTGGGGACTATGTCTTATTGAAAGTATCTCCGATGAAGAGAGTTCAGCGATTTAGTAGACGGAGAAAAAAACTTGCCTCGAGATATATTGGCCCATTTAGGATTTGTTGAGCACATTGAAGCCGTATTGTGTAGGCTAGATCTTTCAACATCGATATTGAGTATGCACGATATTTTTTATGTTTTGATGCTCATGAAGCATTTGCGTGACGAGGAACAACTACGAGTGTTAGACGCACCGGAGCTTCATGATTGTTTAACCACTATTGAGATTTCCGTTTGTATTCTTTCTAGAGAAAACAAGAGACTTAGAAATAAGGTGATTCCCGTAGTCAAAGTTTAATGGAACCGGAAAGGAGCTGAGGAGGCTTCTTGGGAACGCGAGGAGGATATGCATCACGACTTCCCGCACCTGTTTGAATAGATAAATGGATTAATTATGATTTATTCCTATTTATGATTATCTATACGATCATATTTATACTTAACGCTAGAATGAGAGTATTAACACTTAGCTCCTAATCATTCGGAACACATGGTATATATATGGGGGGTTCCTTGTTTGGATTTTTCGCCCGACGTACTAGTTTCCCTTAGTTAGGGGTTAAGTGAGAGTATTTGCATTCTATATTATTAAGTGTAGATATTTCTTTGTTTCATATCTAGAGATTAATTATACGAGATGTGTATGTGAGGATTTCCTTATCTGGATTATTCCATCAACGTGTTTTTCTCTAAGATACGATTGCGCAATTTCGAGGAAGAAATTCTTTTAAGGGGGAAGAATGTAAAACCCCAAAAATTTTAAAAATATTATTATAAATGATAATAAATGAGTTTTGGTGATTTTTCTGGGATGAATGGATCAAATTGGAATCGATTTGAGATCGATTCGCAGTTTCAGCCTCAGTATCGTGAGTCTACTGAAAACTGTTACTATTTTGTTTTTAGTAATTTTTCTATTGATCATATGGACACAATGTTTGTAATTGATCTTAGAATCTTGAGATGGTGATGTGGTTAAACTTTCGTTGAGTTCTGACAACGGAGACTGAAACACTATTTTGAGACGCTATTGCGTTTACTGACATCTCTCGTATTTGTATTTTTAATAATTTTTCTATTAATCATATGGACATGAGGTTTATACCATTGATCTTAGAATATCGATACAGTGCTATGGGTAAATTTTCGTTGCTTTTTTAGATCGAAGTCTGAAATCCTATTTTTTAAAATAATATAAAATATTATATATTTTTCCTCTCTTTTTCCTATTCCACCTACCCTCTCCCCTCATTTCTCTATAAAATGGGCCCTCCCCTCGCTCTCTTCTCACAAATCAGCGGGAGAAAGAAGAGAGAGAAAGAGAGGGAGAGAAAAGAGGAGGAGAGAGAAAGAAAATAGAGAGAGAAAGAAGAGAGGGGGAAAGAGAAAGGAGATTTTGGCAATTCGAAAACAGGAACGGATAGGGATTCTAATTTCAGAGATCAATAAAGACAAGTTCATCTCTTTCCAAACTCATCCCCGTTTAGTTTTGATATTAATAAAAATTGATGAATTTTAGATCAAATCCTAAAAATGATGAAAAAGCATGATATTGATGAAAATTGATGAATTTTAGATTAAATCCTAAAAATGATGAAAAAGTATGATATTGATAAAAATTGACGAATAGAATATAAGATCAAATTTCTAAAGACGTAATATTGCTAGCTAGAACTATACGTATTTGTCCAGCGTTGGGTTACTGTTACTATTCATACGTACGTGTATTATTCATAAGTATGGTTACTATTCATATGTATGTGTACTATTCATCAATATGTTACTATTCATATGTACGAGTACTATTCATATGTACGAGTACTATTCATAAGTACTATTACTATTCATATGTGCTATTACTATTCATACGTACAGTTTCACGAGTACGATACTATTCAAACGTGCGGGAACTATTTATACATACGATACTATTCATAAGTAATATTACTATTCATATATACGGGTACTATTCATACATACGGAAAATACTAATTACCGGCGGTGTTAGTATTTACGGATCGAGTCTTGTTTTGCCTCGAACGTTTGATCGCGAACATGATGCACGGGCCGCGCGTCGATACACGTGCGTGTCCATGAGGAGTATGAGTAGGTTCAAGTACACATGTATCCTTGGGAATAGGTAACCTATGATATTGTTTCCGTACAAACGTGCGTTGAGGTTGGAAAACCTATGTTTTAGTTATACGTACAAATGTGCGCAGAGGTCGGTGAGCCTATGATATTGTTTTCGCACAAGCGTGCGCTAAGGTTGGTAAACCTACATTTTAGTTATCTGTACGAATGTACGCAGAGGTCGGTGAACCTATGTTTTTGTTTTCCATATAGTTCGTATAGGAATCAATACACTTATCCTGTCGATATACACGGGGATGTGATTTGTTGCGAAAATGATCAATGTTATAAGCTAATTTTAACTGAGTATTTGGAGGATGCCAAAAGTGACCTCGACTCATTGTTGAGATATTTGACGATTGAGAGGCCTTGATACATATGTCTATTATGGTGTTTTACTTTCCAGTTATATTTCCTTTCATATAATAGTTCGGTATTAATATTTAGATATCTACAATTAAAGACTTATGGTATATACATGAGAGTTTCCTTGTTTGGATTATTTTGCTCGACGTACTACGTCTCGTGTTGTAGATTCCAAAATATTAATTCTACTTAGACATGGGGTAAATGATCTAGGTAGACTATGCTTATTGGTAGAGCCTCCGTCATATGTAGTAACCCTTCCCCTGGTGGCGGACGGAAATGTTCTTCCTGTAGCGCTTTGGCGCTCTTATTGTTGTTTTTTTATTTATTTTATTTTAACTTTCAGGCGGCTCAGAGCATCGGAAAGTCGTGGGGTGACGGATTTCTTGCATAGTCGTCATCGCGTATTTTTACTAGTATGGACTCAACAGTAGTCTTATGTTTCCATTCAGTCATCTGAGTTTATACTCATATTGTTAAGGCAATATGCCTTAGTACGATTTCTAGTCAATTCATGTTGAGACATATCATGTTATTTTAGACTCCATATATATATCAGTTGTATTCTAGTTTAGTTTATTTGGGACATGATTTCATTTATGAGATATATCTTTCTGTATCATGTATATAATATTTTCCTTATTTGCATGTTTTGTACCTTCATTTATATTGGTTTTCACTTGAGGATATTACTATAATTGGTGAAACATGTTGTTGCACAGTAGAGGTGCATGACAGGTTTGATATCTCTGGGTTCACCTTGGACTACAGCCAAGTGTGAAAACAAGGGCGTCACACTTATTAAAAATACGAACAATATATATTAATCTAGAACATAAGTAAATGACAAATGACATGACAGAAAAAGTGCACGCATGCACCATATAGATATGCCAAAGTATATTTTAAATACAAGAAAATAATCTGAATATCAGATATGCTATGTAATATATATGTGGAGTCTAGAGCAATGCAAAACACTTAATAACATGATCTGAATAATTGAGAATATATAAGTAATTATATATATTTTTAATAAAAATATACAATATAACACTATGGGTGATACATAAAATAATGTAATAAATAATACAAAAATCAATAAAATTAACGATATATAAGTCAAATCAAAAAAAATATAGTCGTAAAAATAATAACACATAAATAACGATCGGTACGAGGATAGAGGAGAGATACAAAGAGAGGGTAATCGCGAAGCAATGGGACAAGAACCGTGGAAAACTCCGGAGTCAAAGAGTGATAAGATAGGGACGAAACGAAATCTATCAAGAAAATAGGATAAGGGCTCAAGAATAGTCTCACAGATAAAATCATGATATGAGTCTAAGTTGTCCAATATATTCTTACTAGTGAGGACTCGGGACCGTGACCTGCATGGGCCACCACTAAAACCTGTCACGCCTCGCTTTCCGAAATACCCGGGAATCAGAACGTGAACAAGTTCGTGACGTATTAGATTACGGAGGATAAATAAAATAATCATTTCTCCTCAACCTAATATGCTAAGCGTCAAGAAATAAATACAATGCAAAGGCACAGGTCCCCGATCACAGATAGAGAGAATATAATAGACAAACTTAGAATAAAATATCCATATCACAAGTGAATATCATCCAAGACATAATATTTGGGTCAACATGCCCTTATACATATTTGAACAAATGAATACTGAAGAAATATGAAATACATTGTTCAACAAAAATCGAAGGGAAAAGACTACAAAAACAACTAGGATCATCAATTAAGACGAGATACTGAACTTCGGCCTATTCTTCAACTCTATCTGCAAGACACTCCTACTGAGAATCCTCTGGCTCCTGGCGATCTCCCAGCTAAACCTGTTCTTCCTCTAAATCTGACGTACACTAGAGATAACATGTGTACGTCAACGTGCATGACACACAGTAAGATCCCACAAAACAAATAGAGCGAACGAAAACCCAAGCGGAAAACGATACGATAACAGAAATAACAAAAGGACGTGCAACTGGAAATCTAACAAAATCAACATGCAAATTCACTACTAAAACCTGATAAACATAAAGCTAACTGCATACGATAATCGGGTCGAATACTAACCATCTTAAAACCCACTGGTCCACATCTCACATAGAGTCAACGCTCATATCATCGGATAACTAACTATTCATAAATCCCCTACGTGCATCCAATCCCGCTACACATGCGGCCAGAGGACTACACGTAAACCGTTTTCTAACTGGTCCGACCTCAAGAAAAACTCGGGTGACGAATCAAATTCCCACTGACTAAAGTGATGTACACAGTTCACTTTATCCCTACAAACCAACCCCAGTGGCGACACCAACCACTAGCGCAAGCCTGGAAGATACATCAACAGTCACATCCGATCACATGAACAAAGACTTCCCCATCCTAACTCTTTTCGTTTTTCTAAGTCAACAATCAAAGTCCACAGTATCTCTGGTTCACCACCTAAACTCAATCAACACACACACACATGTCACTAGGTCTGTTCATGACGCACGAGGCCACTAAGTCATAAACTACTAGAGTTCTCAACACAACCAGGAACAATAAAAGCAGACATGTCAAATATAATAAAATATCCATAAAATATAAAATATAATCGTGAATCAGTAAAAACATGCATACAGTCCGGTTTTATCAATATCTTGTTATCCGAATCTCAATACTATTCAAAAAAATTATCAGCAACTAAATAACATCAAATATAACTATGATTAAAGATAAAATCAAAAACCGTAGTTGTTTTGCACACGAAATGTCATAGACCACAACTACCCACACAAAATTATAAATTACTTAAAATCCAAAATAAATAATTCTTTTTGCAAATAAATTTCTTTTAAATCATCATAATTATCAAAAATAATTCTTTTTCCAAAATAATTCCATTTAAATTATTATAATTTTTCTAAATGCTTTTGTTCTCTAGTAAATTCTTTTAATTAATATAATTATCCAAAAATAATTCCGCTGTCGAAATAAATTCATTTAGTTTATCATAATTATTCTGAAAATACTAATTATCATATCATTATTATTTATCTAATATTATTCACACCAAACAATCCCATAGATGTAATAATATACCTTAATCTAATCTATGCAATTAATTAATTCACAACGGATCTAAAAATTGTAAAGATGAGTCAAAGGGAAGTGAGATCTTGCCTGTGAGGCCAAGGAACCTGCGGACGAGGCGGCGGCACTATTGCTTGTTGTTCGTTATTCGGCGACGCGCATAGCGGATCGAAGGCTGACTTGTGGAGCTGGACGGCAACATCGGCGAGCGGATTGCGACGCACGCGGGATGCTCGCGTGGCTGAGGGAGAGCGTGGAGCGGGGAGAGAGGTGTGCTGGGGCCGGGCACCTAAGCGGGCGAACTGATTGCTCACGTGCTGGGGCTGAAGCGGCGATGGCAGGCGGTAGCAGGCTGAGGCGCGGAGGGGAAGGGCTACTACGGGGCGAGCTGCGAGAGGAGACGTGGGCCGGCTGCGAGCAGGGGTGAAGGTAGTGGCGACGAGGTAAGGGGCTGAAGAGAGTTTGGTGAGGCACGGCTCGGTGTCGGGTGGAAGCAGGAGGCTATGGGGCAAGGGCAAGTGGAGTTAGGTGTGAGTTGATGGCGAAGCGGTCGCTTGGTTAACGGGCGAGGCTAGAGCTCGGGGAGAGCTGAGTAGGACGGTGGTCATGGTTGGAGGGTTCTTGGGCGGGGTTAGGATTGAAAGGGAGGAGCTGGCGATGGTGCTGATCTGGGAAAGGGGGTTCCGTCGGGGTTGCTGGTGTGAGTGCAGGGTGATTGGAGATCAGAGCTCGGCTGGTCGTAATCTGGCGAGTCGGGCTGGCTGAGGGAGATGGCGAAGGGAGAGGGAAGGTGGTGTTGGTGGAGGGCGAAGGAGAGCGGTCGCTCGTCGGAGGCTGGAGGAGAGACGTCAACGGAAGGCGAGTTGTGACGGAGGGCGACGGGCGAGTTCGGGCGGTTGAGCAAGGGCTGCAGCGGTCGCGAGGCAGAAGGAGCTGAGTGCTGGAGTTTGGGGCTACTGGGGTTGTGCAGGGATGTTTGGCGTGGTGGCATGGGCAAGGTTGGGCAGTGCAACGAATAGGGGGAGGAGGACGAGAGGGTGGGGCGTTGAGGCGGCGGCCTGGTGCGGGTAGAGAGGCGAGCAGCTTGGCCGAGGGGGTAGACAGAGAGAGAGCAGAGGAGATATGGGGCGGCGCTGGCTGTGAGGGTGCAGCGGCGATTGGGGCTAGGGCGGCTCGCGGCGAGCCGGCTGATGGCTCGAGGAAGAAGAAGAAGAGGGTTGGCGGTGGTTTAGGAAGAAGGAGAAGGAGAGAAAGACCGGAGAGAGTAGAAAGATTATATTATATATATATATATATATATTATATATAATATATATTATATTATATATATATATATATATATATATATATAATATTATATATATATATATATATATATATATATATATATATATATTATATATAGTGTGTGTGAAAGGAATTTAGGGTTTAGAAAAATAATTAAAAATAATAATAATTACAAAATAAATTAAATAATTATGTGAAAATTATCTACACATCAAAACATACTAGTTATAGTATTGCAACTGATAATATGCAATAGTAGAAATAATACAAGAAATTACACAATTAAACAAGAATAAATAATAAAAAAATAATTACTTATATTTAAAATCAAATAATTATGGGATAATTATCCACACAGCAAAACATACCAGTTATACTAATATGATAGATAATATGCAATAGAAGAAATAATACAATAAATTATATAAATAATACGTAATTAATAATACAACGTATTATACGAAATAATATGTAATAATAATAATACAACATATTATTTAAAAATAATACGTAATAGTATCAATAATACAACAGATTAATTTCAAAAAAATTTACCGCACAAAATTATTTTATAAATATTAAAATCATTTAAATAATATAATATTTAGACTTTTAAATCATAGAAATCCCTAGAAATTTAGAAAAAAATACAAATACTCTTTTAAAAATAATAATTAAATATTTTAAAATACCAAAAATTTATTTTACCTGGTATTAAAATCCATGGTCATTAAAACATTGTTGTCATATTTTGACAGTGGAAAAAAATTAACCAAAGGTAAGAAAAGGTTTGTGCTAATGACTTAACAGTGAAGAATTTATAAATAAAAAATAGCCTAAGTGCCCAAAATGATCATAAGCTAAGGATAGAAATTTAGAAGTCAATCTCTTATTGATATATTTTTATTCAGGTAGTACAAGGATGTATAGAGACTTGTAAGCAGCATTCTGGTTGATTCACAGTAAGTATAGATTTCAGATTATGTCTTTGTGCTTGATGTTTGAGCTTGTGAAGGTTGAGCATT